TCTTTGCTTTGAACATTGGCTATCCCCGCACAGACTTAGGCTAGTTTAGGGACCGTTTTGCCTTCACTACAGACGCAGAAATATAATGTTAATCTGACAAAATTACCACTGTCAGTGGATGGGCAAGTAGTGTAACGATTATCGGCGCGGAAATTTGAATCAACATGGTGAGCTCAAATTTCGACCAAGTCTGCTTCTTTCACATCGCACTAATACCTTTGCAAAAAGCATGAATTCATCTTCCTCCAGTTATGAGTATTGACTGAACTCTTCTGCCTTGTTTTGGAGGAAGAAAAAAACCTTGTGAATAATAGGGCAGATCAGACTCTTTAGCTTTGGTAGGTCCAGCAGTTTTAGAGAAGGAAAACTCTGAATTCAAAACCAACCTGAAGGAAGATGAGCTCCGTCAGGACATATTGTTATATACACACCCACAGCTGCTATGGCTACGACCCTCATTGGTCACGGAACATTTATACCCTTCTTCTAATTCAACGACTAACGAAACCAAAGGTGTTCAAATTCTATTCATCAATTCATATGAATTTGGGCCACTGTGTTTAACTCCAGTGTTTATGTTCTTTGAGGAAGAATAGGCGGACATGCGTTTAAAGTAATGTCCGCCTTTTCTTTAACGAAACGCTTGACTTTTGTGGGCGACATTTCCCATGAGCCCTAATTACTTTAAGTGAATGTTTATAGTGGTTACGCCTATTTTTTTCAAAACATATTTTGGGATTGCATCATTTTTTTTATTGTTGGCTGTTAATTTCCTCTAGAAAATCGGTGAATGTATACATTTATTTGATCTTATTTTTGCTTTCGGGGTTCTCCAGGTCAAGGTCTATTCAGTATGGCCGCCAACTGTGTTGCAATCAGCACGCTTCGCATAACCAACTTCAGAAGCTATAACCCTGAACAATCACTGAAAAAGCATATCGAGTTACACGAACTTCGCCCAAGATTCTGATGACAAACTGCTCTTGCCCATAACAGCCTCCTCATTTTTAATAGAAAATATATTACTGGAAGAATAACGATACACCTAAAAACATTCTCGGATCCTTAGTAAATATATAAGCAGACGATAACCATGGTGCATGGGTGAACCTTGAAATATCTGGATGACCAGTGCCTGGCAGCTGACCTCTCCTCTGAATTAATTTTCATAGCTCAAATGTGCGAAGACTGGTTGGTATCATTCAAAACATCCAAAATAAAAACTTACATTTCATCACCCTTGAACAGATCCTAAACCTACACTAGTCCTAAGATTGATGCAGTTTTAGGATCCTCAGATTGGTGCATGCACTCAAAGAGGATCCTTGTCTCGAACGTCCAATGGGGCTCTCTCCCATCCTGTAAGGGAACGCCTTTATTTGTGTGATCGTTAAAGATGCTGGAAAAATGGTCGATTCTATGTATCGCTCCAGAAAATTCCTCACTCCTACTGCCATGCTCTATCTTTACAAGACTCAGATCAGGCCAAGAATGAAGGATTCCTGTCATATCTGGGCTGATACTAAGCTGGGCTGGATTACGCGGTCTTGTGGGAGATGAATTATTCTCTACCCTGCAACCCTTATCCCACAGACGAAAAGTTGCTAGCCTTTCGCTACTCTATGGCAGATGTTCAGACGTGTTATATTCCTTAGTTTCAAAAGCCTAGACATTCCCACAAGCAGAATTATTATATTATACTATATTATAGACACAACGCTTCAACCAAGTAACCTATAGTCCTCTTCAGGTGGCTATTGAATATATGTTGACTGTGATGCTATTTTTGTCTTTGATTTTACTATCGGTCCAATGACTTCATCTTGACGAATCCCCAAACACTTTACAAAACCGAAATTGCACCAAAAGAAGATTATGGTGACTGTCTGTTGATCCGCCATTGACGTTATCCATTACAGTTTTCTGAAATCTAACCAGAGAATCACTACAGAAGTATATTGCTAGCAACTAGAGGAAATGCACATTCAGTTAAACACGGGTGAATTGTTGAAGATGAACTTGGATGAGATTGAAAGTACGTGGGAAAGTAAAGGGATTGAAAAAAATCTAAGAGTTTTTTCTTAATCAGTTTAATGACATAAATAAACATAATTACTCAACCAAACACACATACACACATACACACACATGCATACACATACATATATATATATATATATATATATATATATATATATATATATATATATACAACATTTACATTGTTCAGACTGTTGTCGCCATCTTTATTACCATGTTCACGAAGTTTCGTCTGTTGTACGGTCCGGCCTTCTTCAGGTGATTGCAATTTTTAACTGAACCTTTTATTTCGTCCACCGGGGTAGATTGATTCTAGCTCCACGTGCTATGCTTCTTCCGGGTGTCTCTGTTATCTCCCTTTAACTCAACTCTCAAAGTTTTTGTTCGCTAGTGCAGTAGTTAGAGATATTGAACTCACAAATCTTTGGGTAAAGTCACTGGATCCAACCAAGACTCCGAACAATGTAAATAATTACAATACCACATCTCAGAAATATATATATATATAGAGAGAGAGAGGAGGGAGAGAGAGGGGAGAGAGAGATATAGATATGAAGAGTTTTTGACAGGAAGAAATAGATAAATCGATAGATATTAAAGAAATGACATTGTAGATCGTTTTACTATTGGAATGTACTGTAAATGAGTTAAAACATTTCTGTGGAATCAGGAGTTAATGCAGGCGTTACTGACAGAGCTGGACTATATATATGTATAATATATAAATATTGATCATAGAAACTGATTGGAAATTAGTAAAAAAAAAAAGAAAATTATTGTCAGTTGTCCGGAACAAATAAATACAAGTGCCATAAAACTAGTGGTCTCTCTCTCTCTCTCTCTCTCTCTCTCTCTCTCTCTCTCTCTATCTATCTATCTATCTATATATATATATATATATATATATGTGTGTGTGTGTGTGTGTGTGTGTGTGTGTGTGTGTGTGTGTTTGTGTGTGTATTTATATGTGTGTGTGTATTATAACCTTTTTTACTTTATAGATTCATATAAGTTAAGTAAAATATTTTACTAATATATATGAGATTGTATTTTGCAAAGAAACAAAGAAAGAAAAGACATTTTTGGATCAAACCTACTGATAAATGGATACTTCATAAGCATTTGATCTTATTTGTTACTATATATATGAATTGTATTTTGGGCAGCAGTCTTTCGTTGATAGAATTTTTATTAAAGACCACCGAAAATTCTTTGTTAAGGAGTTTTTAATTAAATTTTTATTAAATATTTCACTTACCTTTAATCTGACAATAACTCTATTAAATTGCACATCAACAACCCAACCCAAGAAAAAACAAAATATTCCGCCAAATAATTTTAGATAACACAATAATATTGCATCATATGAATTGTAAAACGTGACTACGAATATTAAGTCATGTTCATAAAAGATAAACAACAATTGCATTGATAAAATTTCATTCAGTTTAGGGACAAATATACTAAATATATTTTATAACATTATAAAAAGTCCCACCACAAAATGATACACGACTGACTCATATTGGAAGCCAATGCGAAATATAAGGCGTATATGTAATTTAAAGCTCCAAACGTGTTTTTGAACAAAACAAATATAATCAATTTTTAATAATGGCTTAAGAAAGCAGTTGTATAATGGCTTTCAAATTTTGGACAATACTAATAAAACTGTAAGTCCGATGTCAAACAATTCCTCAGAAAGAAGAGACAAATATTTGTATATATATATGGGCACCTCGGGGTGCTGTAATGGTCAACAAGCTTGTCTCGCTAGAACAATTACGACTGAGTAATGAGTTCAATCCTCACTAGGTGCCCCATACTTTCGGCCTTGTGACACATCTATGCTACGCTTAGAAAGTCACTATAAATGTGAAGATAATGAGACAACGGGAAAAAAAACTATAAATGACGCGTTTCGCCGAGAACGCCTCCTCCTTCTGGCTTCTTCATGCTATAATGAAAAAAAGACAAAACTATGTAAGGAAAAATGCGTTGGCATCAATGAGGATTAGTGGGGCCCATATATCAAATTTCCTTATCACGTCCAATAACCATACCCCAGAGAGTGTGTCTGTCTGCCTATATATATATATATATATATATATATATATATATATATATATATATATATATATATACTTGACCGTTCCCTGGAAATCAAATTAAGGGTGAAATACAATCAGTTAACGATTGGCAACTAGTGTGATTCCTGGTAGGAAGTCTACTTTACTCAAGATCGCCTCGCTGTAAAGATTGAATAAGTCTGGTGAGAAGACACCTCGTTGTCTTATACCTGCTATTTTGTGTGTATTTACTGAATTTACTGAATTCATTTTCTATCTGGCTGGTTTCCAGTTCGGGGTTATTCTAATGTTTTTACATGTTTGTGTTTAACGGGTTTAAAAGATGCCAGGTCAAAATTGAAAGCGTCACCATTGTTTCATGTTTCCGAATTCAGCACGTCACAGTTTATATAATCATTTAAATGAATGAAAATTTATTCGTATTTGTTCAATAAATTCGATCTGTACGATTTCCAATTCGCACATACTGATCAGATTATCCAAACATTTTTTCTTAGCAATGTGACTATCTACGCTGGTTTGTCAGTAAGTCCCGAGACTTATAAAAAAAAAATTACTTTTACTTGATAAATTAGGTAGGTCGTTAATATCAGATCGTTCAAGAACATTTCAAAGGGTAACAACTACAAATATTCGAACGATTTAAGAACAGTTTAAATGGGACATAATTATGACCGGGAATAGTCGTTTGGTTAATGGATAATAGACGTTTTATAATAATCTTAAAAGGCGCTTCCAGTCGAATATGGGCATATGCACTTTGGACAGACATTAGCACAGAACAAGAAAATATCTGTTGCACTTAAACCATTTTCGATCAAAATGATTTAATAGTGATTTACAAAGCGTAGCTTAAATGTTGGCCTAAAGTCATATCATATTGAGACACCGGTTCTCGTCCGATCACCGAAATTAAGCAACGTTGGGCCTGGTCAGTATTTAGACAGGTGACTGCTGAAGAATACCAGTTTGATCTGGGAGTAGTGCAATGGATAACTTGTTTGAAATAAACGTCCCTTTTTTTTCTTTAATTTTATATAATTTTATCTATCTACACCCAAACACCCACACCCAAACACACACACACACACACACACACACACACACACACACACATATATATATATATATATATATATATATATATATGAATGAGATAACGATATATATATATAATCTTATATACCAAGGACAATACTAGGGAAATTCTATGACATAGTGGAAAAGGTTTACTCTTGAGGTGTTTCGTCCTTCAGGACTTCATCAGACTAAAATTGTTATGTTGGTACGACTGTATATGCGCACGAACGAGGAGTGCTGGGGATTTTAGATTTTTTTTTATATCTAGCCGAATTCACTTAGAGTCTTTTTTTTTCTTTTTATCACTTTTGTTAGTAGTTATCCCATAGTGATAATAGAAGATCTGCAAGGATTGTTGGAATGTTGTAAGAGCCAGGCCGCAAATTTAATGTAGATGGCCTTGCGGTTAAGACACTTTCTAGATATTTACGTCATAGTAAATTATTTTCTTCTTTGTTCAGAGTAGCATTGTTTTGTAAAATATTCCTTTTGTGAGATAACTACTAACAAAAGTGATGGAAAAAAAAGAGAAAGGCTCTAAAGAAATTCGGCTAGATATATAAAAAAAAAATTCTAAAATCCCCAGCATCCCTCGTTCGCGTGGATGTGTAGCCGTACCAATCTAACAAGTTTTGTCCGATGAAGTCGTGTCGGATGAATCGCGTCACAAGTAAATTTTTTTCCACTTTGTCACACACACATACACACACACTCATATATATATATATATATATATATATATATATATATATATATATATATATATTGAAGTCAACAACCAGAGGCGACTGTCTGTTTCATACTAAACGCAATCGTTTGACCATGACTACTGCGTTTAGCATGAAACAGACTGTTGCTTATCGGTGTTGACTTCAATGTACACTTTTATATTTACATACACTCTATCCCTGATATTGAGCACTTTAACCCATAAATATAGCATACCTTAAATACTTTCATCATATATATATATATAGATAGATAGATAGATAGATAGATAGATAGATAGATAGATAGATGTGAAGAGATGGGGATAGGCGGAGAGGTACAAACAATAGATAGATAGATAGATAGATAAATAGATACACCTAGTGAGCCAGACAAACCTACCTAGGTTTCACCTAAACGGATCGTCAGGTAAAGTAACGCCTTACTTTCCCTGACGATTTGTTTAGGTGAAACCTAGGTAGGTTTGTCTGGCTCACTAGGTGTATCTAGGTCTGCTCTACGGTTGTATTGAGCGCATTTGTTAGTTAGTTGTTTACTCGTATCGGGGTTTTTTCTTTGGGCTTCAGGCCCGCAGCTGTGCGATTTTTTTGTCGGCAGAAGTTCATGTTTGTAGCTCTTTCTTTTTTTAAAACCTTTTTTTCCCTCGAGATTCATTTGATTATTAGCAAATCAAAAATTCGAGGGTTTTTCGAAACAAGTCTAGTTATCTATAATTATATATATATATATATATATATATATATATATATATATATATATATATATATATATATATACACATAAACACGTATATATATATATATATATATATATATATATATATATATATATATATATATATATATATATATATATATATATATATTCTATTGAAATGCGTTGCAAATGAGCAATGAAGGAATTTTTAGTAGTTAGGATTTAAGGCTAAAATCTCGGGATATCATTTCCGAGCGGGTGCTGAACAATTCACGTACCCCAACCCACTTTCTAAAATCTGATCAAATGGCCAAACATTAGAATTTGCGAGGAAGGGATTCTTGGGCCGGACGAGAACTTTTCAGCATTTCCTTGTATAAATTCGAGTGACACGATAAAAGTGTGATACTAAAAGGTAAGGCCGTGAAAAGAAACAATTTAGAATCATACAGTTTGTTAGATACAAACAGTCAGAGAATTAACGTAAATGCTTAGAAGTGACTTTTGGTGGGGAACATAGCACAATCCAGTAACAAAACGTGATCCAGTCAAATCTGTTTGATCAACTTGTGAGTTATTTTAGTCTATATTTCCTTGTAGGTACCACGTGACGACAATACCCATGTCTCGTGCTATCACAGTTGGTCTATATTCTGGTTAAGAGAGTAAAAATATTTGGTATTACTGGAAAAAAAAACAAGAGCTAAAATCAAAAACATTTGTTTTTAAAATACTCTTCTTCTATGTATATATATATATGTATGTATATGTTTTTTCTAAGATCAGGTAAGGCTGGCACAAGGTCAACTGACATCTGGGGAAGTGTAATTTTGTAACGCGTATCTTGAAAATCGTGAAAATTTGC